CGGCCTTGTGGTCCAAACCAACCTTGTGGTCCAATGCTTTATCCCACAACATCACAGCAGGACCCCCTGCACTATATTGTTGTTGTTGAGTGCCACTGAGTCCATTTCAACCCATAGTGACCCCTTATAGGGTTTCCCACGAGCAACTGATGAGTTTGAACCACCAACCTTGTGGTTCACACCAACTTTGCAGTCCAGCACATTAACACAGTGTCACACCAAGACTTCATGGCACTATATTTATTGTTGGTGGTGGTGCTTATGAGCCGTGGAGTCGGTTCCAACTCATACCGACCCTGTACAGGGTTTCTGAGGCTGTAAATCTTTATGGGAGCAGAAAGCTTCATCTTTCTCCCGCGGAGCAGCTGGTAGTTTTGAACTGCTGACCTCGCGGTTCACAGACCAATTCGTAACCACTACGCTACCAGAGTTCCTTGCCCTATATTAGCTGCAACCATATCAAATAACCACCACCAATAGATGGATAGAAGGGGAGGAAAACGTGATACAGAACTGAAATTCTGAAAGCGGTCCACACTTACTAAATGGGTTGAGTTCGGAGATGCTCCATAACCCTTGAACATCAACTACCCCTTGAGTGCACACTTTAGCTAAATAACACATGCTTCATCAAATTATTACTAGTAAGTACTTCACGCCTTTCAAAAATCATCTCTATGAGCCTGAGAATGGTCAACAATTTACTGTAAAGCAAAACGAAAGGGTGAACAGGGCAGGAAAACGAGTTTGAGTTTACTGGATTACTGGAAGTGAAACCTTCTGAAGACTCTAAATGAGAAGGTTGACACATTGTGATAAAATGTAACCAATGATGCTGAACAATTTGTGTTGTTGGTAAGTGCCCTCGAGTCAGTTCTGACTAACAGTGACCCTGTATAGGGTTTACAAGGAATGGCTGATGGGTTTGAACCACCAACCTTGTGGTTCACAGTCCATTACTGTTCCTACAGCACCACACCATGTGTTCTGATTGTTAAATGGGAACCTAACTTGCTGTGTAAACTCTTCACTGAAAACACAAAATCGTTGGTGTTAAGTACTGTCAAGTGAGTTTTAACTTCTAAGCAACTCTGTATAGGGTTTCTGAGAGTTTACATCTTCACAAAAGCAGAAAGCCTCATCTTTCTCTGTCGGAGCAGCTGGTGGGCTCAAACCACAGACTTTATTGTATGGAGACACCGTGCTCCCAGGAATGGGTGGTAGGACCCAGACAATGAGAGGTCTTAGAGGTCCCCGGAGAAACAGATTTCCTTCTAAGGGTACTAGGAAGCCAAAGAGGAGTCTTAAACAGAGGAGGAGCAGATGTATAACTCAACAGGCCCCCCTTCTTGCAGTCCTGTGGAATCCTGGTGTGGTGCTATAATCACAACGCTGGTGGTTCAAACTCATCAGCCACTTCTCGGACACCCTATACAGGGTCACTACGATCAGGAAGTGACCCGACAGCACTTAACAACTAGCAGTCCCGCAGAAGGGAATCTGGATGAGGCTAGAAGCTGGAGACCAAGCCAAAGCTTCAGCCAGTAGCACGGCTGATGACTAGTACACACTTCAAGTTCAAGAACTATTTAAGGAGCTTGAGCGGCAGGCAACTTAGCTTCCTGAAGGTTCTCAGTGCCCTGCTGCCCGCATGCGCCTTCTCTGTTGCCAAGATGCCCAAAAAGAAGGTCAGCTTGGCTGGAGGGGTGGTGAAGGAGGGGCCTGAGAGATGGGAGCAAGGCTGTCAGTTAAACCTGCTCTTGTAAAAGTGGAAATGAAGGCAAAAAAGGATAAAACTACAGACAAAAAGTACAAATAAAAGGGAAAGAGAGAGCAAAGGGAAAAGAGGCTGAAGTGGCTAACCAAGAAACAAAAGAGATTTACGTGCCGAAATGAAGAAACTAAAAATGTGGAGCGTCCAGCCTCGGATGAAGCGGGAGAGGAAGCCAAGTCTGATGAATGTGGATCTACCATGTGGTGTCGGTGGGTCCTATAGCTCTCTTCTTGTACAATCCAGAGGAATATTTTTATCAACTATTTTGTAAATGCAAGTTGCTTAGTAGCTCTAGGGTATTTGTGAGAACTTCATTTCCATTTTTAAAGTGTAAATGCCTTTTTTTAAAGAGGTGGAAATGATTTGGTTATTTTTTTTTGGGGGGGTACAACCAGAAAATATTGGGATGTTGGTTCTTGGGTGTCAACATTCCATTGTGTGTGTGTGGGGGGGGGTAGTTTGTAGATCTCATAATACAAAGCATTTTTGTTGTTGTTGTTAAGTGCTGTTGAGTCACTTCTGACCCATAGCTACCCTGTACAGGGTTTCTGAGGAACAGCTGGTGAACTTGAACTGCATACCTTGTGGTCTAAACTGACTTTACAGTCCAGCGCATTAACCCCCAGCACCAAGCATACATAATGACAATTGGGAACCACAGTCATACATTTGTATGACTTGAACATTTTAAATTCTATTTCCTCGTTGTCTTTTAGTAAAATTGTATCCCTCATCTTGGCTCTGCGTATCAGAACTGTGTGTGTTCTGTGATATCTTTGGTTGTAACAGTCCAGTCTTCCTCAGAACATTGTTATATGTTGTAAAAGGTTGAAAATTTGAGTGTGTATGATAGTGTATATGATATTAAATTGGTGCTGCAGGATAATGCACCGAATCACAAAGTCAGTTTGAACTGCAAGGTTGGCAGTTCAAATCCACAAGCCACTCCTTGGAAACCCTATATAGGGTCGCTATAAGTAAGAACAACCACAATGACTATCAACAGTTGCAGATACTGGTACTTGGTATCATCTTAAGGAGAGTTTGCCTCCAAATATAAAGCTGGAAAACCACTGGAGTTTAGAAAAGAATTATAACTACATGGCCTTTAGATTTTTGGTATGTACATTAAGAATTGTGTACACATTTTTCACAATGTCTCTGTACTGACCCTTAAAACAACTATCAAAATACCAATTATTTGGACACCACACCAGAAGTCCAAAATACCAATTATGAAAGAAAAAACCAACAATTTAAGAGCTTTAAACCAAAAATATCCTCAAAGTCTTTTTAAACAATAGTTTAGCTTAACTAGCAAAGAATGTCTGCTTTGAACACTATGCTCTTAACAACAACAACAACCTCCCCAAAATACAAGCCCATGGTCAAAGAGTAGACCACAACATAGCACAACACTAAAGGGCAAAGTTGAACAGCCCCATAGGATTTCCAAGGCTGTAAACCTTGCGGTAGCAGACAGCCTCATCTATCTTCTGCAGAGTGGCTGGGAGGTTCAAACCGATGATCTTCTGGTTAACAGCTGAGCACTTAACACTTACCCACTGCACTACCAGGGTTCCTAAGCTCTCTCTCTATGAGAACAAATCGACAACAGCAGCTGGAAAGATCAGACAAGAACCTCAGGGAGCACTGAGTTTATGGGAATGGGAGAGGAGCAACTCAGAATTGTTGTCGTTTAGTTCCTTTGAGTTGGTTGTAACCCACAGAGATCCTGTAGAGGCTTTCTAAGGAGCGGTGGGTGAGCCTGAACTGCCGACCTTGCGGTTCAAACTGACCTTGCAGTCCAACACATTAACCTGCAGCAAGGCACCAGATAGGAGGGTGAGAACGGCTGTAGGACTCAATGAATGTCATCAATGTTACTGAACGTATGTCTAGAAACTGATGAATACGTGTATGTTCTGTGTGTACATTCTCAAGAACAGGAATAAAATAATTTTTTCAATTAAAAAAAGCTATTTGGACAAAACTCATGAAGGCTATATACTGGGGAGGGATGACGAACAGAAGACCCTTAAGCACTTTGACTGCCCCTACCCCTTGCACTCCCCCAGTCCCTGCCCAGGAGGGCAATTTGGCAATATCTATCAAACTGCTTTTAAGGAGCTCTAGTATAGTAGTGGTTACGAATCAGGCTGCAAGCCGCAAGGTCAGCAGTTCGAAACTACCAGCTGTTCCGCGGGAGAAAGATGAGGCTTTCTGCTCCCGTAAAGATTTACAGCCTCGGAAACCCTGTACAGGATCGCTAGGAGTCAGAACCGACTCCACGGCACATAACAACAACAACATCAAACTGCTTTTAGTCCCCCCAGTTGCACTGACAGAAATAATGTGAGATGTATGTGAAAGAGATAACAGTTCTTCATTTTGCAGGTGAGGAAACAGGCACAGACTGAATGAGTAATCTGCCCATGGTTGCACAGCTAGTACATGGCAGAGCTGGGATTCAAACCTGGGCACAGGAGTGCTGAAGGCCTCAATGTAAAACAGGAGACTACACGCTATTATGAGAACTAATAATTTAGATCAACACTGCTCATTTGCATTACTGAGACCAACCGCAGTAACAGTAATAATAACAGCTAGGCATATATGACTAAATGATTAAGCACATGACTACTAGCCAAAAGGTTGGTGATTTGAACCCACCCAGAGAGAGGCACCTTGGCGGAAGACAGGCCTGGGAATCTGCTTCTAAGAAAACTGCACGGAACAGTTTTATTCTGCACACATGGGGTCGCCAGGCACCTAAGTGGGAACCGACAGAGTGATAACTAACAACAACATGTGTATATGAATACATTTTCAAAGCATCACATTGCTGTGGAATTGACCTCACATATGCTGCCTAGGTTTTCTTGGCTGTGAGCTTTACACAAGCAGATTGTCAGGGCTTGCTTCTGCAGTGCTGTGGGAATGGGTTTCAACTTCTAATCTTTACATTAGTTGTTGCTGCTGCTAAGTGCCACCGAGTCGATTCTGACTCTTAGCAATTCTGCATAAGGTTTCTGAGGAACAGCTGGTGGGTTTGAACCACCGACATCATGGTTAGCAATCCAGGGCTTATCCTACAGCGCCACAACAGTAGACTAGTGCAGTCTGAGCTACCGGAGGAACATATGACTTAATACATGCAGGTACATCTCGGTGCGGGTAAGCCTGCGCCCTCCTCCTGCCCCCCCCTCCAGGTCCCGTACCCCACCTCGACCGCAGGCAGCGTCTTGCTGGCCTCCGTACTGCTCTCTCCCAGGATGCTGCCGGCCGAGCGGCCCTCGCACTCGTAGCGGAAGCGCATGCCCCGCTGCTTGGGCTGCTCAGTGATGATCAGATGTGGCCGAGGGCCCGGGCCTGGGGCAGTGGGCAGGAGGCGGCCCAGGTGGCAGCCCCAGGGTGGCGGCGTGGCCGGGGGTGGGGGGCCCAGGGTCACGGTGCTCAGGGAGGCCGCCCCACGTGACACCAGGCTCGGCCCCTCACCCAGGCCAGCAGGCACCCCATCCAGGGCGAAGCCGTTCTCCTTGATGTACTCGTCAATAATCTCTGTGGGAGAGCAGAAAACCAAAAAACAAAAATCGGTGGCGACTTGGGTTTTCGGAGGAGGTCTGATTACCCTCCAAGACACGCTTCCATCCCCCGCCCCCATCCCATTAAAAAATGTTGTTGTTGGTTCAGACTCCCAGAGGTGCTTTCAAGCTGCTTTTAAAGGACCCTGGTGACGCTGCTAACAGCAAGGTCTACAGTTCAAAACCACGGGTCGCTCTGCGGGAGAAAGATGAAGTTGTCTTCCATGACAATTTACAGTCTTGGAAATCCTATATAGATAGGGTGTCTATGAGTTCGATTTGACTGCCTGGCCATGGGTTTGCTTTGGCTTTGGACCTTTCAGAAGTAAATATCCAGACCTGTCTTTCGAGGCACCTCTGGGTGGATTTGAACTGCCAACCTTTCCATTAGTAGTCAAATGCTTAACCATTTGTACCACCCAGGGACTCCTGTGGTGAAAATACACACATCAAGACACATACCAACACAACATCCATATTTGTAATTTCAAGACATGGCTTATATTTCACATTTTGTGCCACGATCTATGCTTTTTTGAAACTATTCTACCATCATTAACATATTGCAGTCCTGATGTGGTACTGCAGGATAAAGTGCTGGACCCCAAGGTCAGTTTGAACTAAAAGGCTGGTGGTTCAAACTCACCAGCTTCTCCTTGGAAACCCTATACAGGGTTGACTATGAGTCAGAACTAACTCACTTAATAATAACAACATTAACATATACTCAATGTCCCTCAAACAAAAACTTCCCCTTTTCTCACCCCAGGTAACCATTAATAATAATCTTTGGTTTCTGTATCTTTCTTTGTTCCACATCAGTGAGATAACAGAGCATTTGTCCTTTTGCAACTGACTGATTTTTTTGCTCAGCATGATGTTTTCCAGGCTCATCCATGTCGTGGCTTCCATTTATTTCTTCAAGACATATTTCTTGAGGGCCAACTGCATGCCAGGCACAGTGATTATGACCCTGAACTCAACAAAGACCCTGTACTCCTTCTTGCTAATATCTTCAAATCTCCCGAACCCCAGCTTCCATTCCCTTCTGTAAAAACTCAACGTAATCACCTGTCACCTGGATGAATGTAAAGATCAAATAACAATCCCCTTTTTTCACTGCAGAAAACACGTTTTCAAACTCAACATATTTCATGTGTACTATTCTGCTCTAAGGAGCTCTGGTAGCGTAGTGGTTACGAATCGGACTGTGAACCTCAGGGTCAACAGTTCGAAACTACCAGCTGCTCAACGGGAGAAAGATGAGGTGTTCTGCTCCCGTAAAGATTTACAGCCTCGGAAACCCTGTACAGAGTCGCTATGAGTTGGAACCAACTCCACGGCACATAACAACAACAACAAATTCTGCTCTAGGAGTCCTGGTGTAGCACTGTTGGTTAATGCGCCAGACTGCAAAGCAGTTTGAACTGCAAGGTCGGCAGTTCAAGCTTACCAGCTGCTCCTTGGAAACCCTATACAGGGTCGCTATGAGTCAGAACCAACTCCACGGCACATAACAACAACAACAACAATGGGTCGGAACCGAATCGATGGCACATCACAACAACAACAACATTCTGTTCTAGGATTAGTATTGGACTGCTGACCAAAAGGTGGGAAGTTCAAAGCCACCAGCTTACTCCAAAGGAAAAAGATGAGGCTTTCTGCTCCTGTAAAGATGTACACAGCCTCAGAAACACTGTGGGGGTCACTGGGAGTCAGAATCAGCACAGTGGCAATGGGTTTCCTGTGGTGGATTCTTTGATAGAAAATTACATCAGTCATGTTGTGTGCCCCCTTTTAATAAGAATACTTGTTCTTCCCTCCCTACGTTCATCGCAGAGAGTGGGGTCACTTTCTACCATCTCTAAAGTCCAATCCATGCCGTCCTTCCAACCCTACTTCAAAAATACATTTACATTCCAATCACCTTTCCCCACCTCTACTGTCTCCACCCAGGTCCACTGTCTGGCATGGATAGACTTAGCTACCTCCTCACTGTGCACTGCTAACAAGAGCCAGGGGGATCGTGTTAGAACTGACGTCAGAGGCTGACACTCCTCTGCTCAGAATCCTCCCATGGCTCCCATGTTCTCCACGTAAGACCTCCCTCAAATTCTCCATTGAGCTCACAACAACAACAACAACAACAACAACAACAAAAAGACCCAAGCATACACCCCCCTCAGCCTGGTCCCAGATTCTTCCTAGACTGGTGCTGTTGGTCTCCACTGAACCCCATTCAACCTTTGCTGGTTCCTTCTTAGCCATCAGGGCTTAGCTCTAATGTCACCTCCTCTGAAAGGCCCGCCCTGATTCACAGTCTGAGGCATCTTCCCTGAGACTCTCTCCCCTTTCTGTTTATTTCCTCTCCAGCCCTTAGCCCAATCCAACATCATCTAGTGCATTTGCTTGTTTTTCCTACTGCTGCCTGAACTAGAGGAACCCTGGTGTGGTACTGACTAGACTGCTAACTACAAGGTCGACAGTTCAAACCCACCAGCCACTCTGAGGGAGAAAGATGAGACTTTCTGCTCCTGTAAAGATGGACAACCACGGAAACCCTACACAGGGGTCGACACGAGTTGGAATTGATGACATGAAAATGGGTTTTGATTTGGCCTTGACTAGAGTCACCCTCTTGGTTCAATTTTCAGTGAAATAATAGGTCTATAAGATGAACAATAAGGAGCTCTGGTAGCGTAGTGGTTACGAATCAGGCTGCGAACCACAAGGTCAGCAGTTTGAAACTACCAGCTGCTCCGCAGGAGAAAGATGAGGCTTTCTGCTCCTGTAAAGATTTATAGCCTCAGAAATCCTGTTCAGGGTTGCTATGGGTCGGAACCGACTCGACAGCACATAACAACAACAACAACAACAAGAGTGGCAGCTTCATGAAACCTTTATCTAACTCCAGGTCCAACCACCCAGGCCTAGAACAGTGCCCGGCACCTGGTGGATGCTCAGAACAACAATAACCGTAGAAATCGTAATGCCCAAGGCAGCTAAGCGTCTTCTTAACTTCCCCCAGCAGTCCTGAAAGTCACAATGGTGACCCCTCCCTCCCCCCAAACCTGCCTCTTGATACTCACCCAATTCATCTGTGGAAGGAAGAGAGACAGAGAGACAGAGAGAGAGAGAGAAAGATGAGGTTCAGAAAGCGGTTTCGACTTTTCATCTTTTAAGACAGACCCCCACCACCACCCCATCCTCTCCTGTAACCTCCCTCCCTGACTCCTCCCCCATCCTGGGAAACACTGGGATCTGAATCCTTGGGGTGCCCAATCCCAGTCTCCATTTCCCTCTATTGAGCTATCTTCCTTTCAGTTCCCAATATTGGGGTCCCAGAGTCAGGGTACCCTCAAACTCAGTCAAATGCATTCCCCAATTTTAGGACAAGGATTTTGAACTGTTGAAAACTCAAAGAAAATCAACGGGCTTTTTCATCAGGAAAACAAGAATCTCTAAATTTCTAAAAACGAAACAAAAACTCCAGTCTAGACCCATGGGAGGTCACTAGCTGGTTTCTGAAGACCGGTAGGGGCCAACCCTTCAACTTTAGGCTGCCTGCCCACTGCTCTGTATCCTGGTCCAGTCTCTCTTACTAGTGCCCACCCACAATCCCAAGTCCCCCCACTCCCAGTTGAAGGAGTAACATGAATGCTGACTCCACAGGAAAAACTGACTCCACAGTTGCAGTTAAATAAACTCAGCCAACGTATAGTGATCCTGTCTGTGCCAAAGTAGAACTGCACTCCATAAGGGTTTAAAGGCTGTTTTCAGAAGTAGATCACCAGACCTTTCTTCCAAGGTGCTTCTGGGGAGACTCGAACTTCTAATCTTTCAGTTGGCAGCAGAGCTTGCACCACGGACAGGCCCCTTATCACCTCCTTGAGAAAGCTCAGCCCCGGAAGGGGCCTTGGCGAAGTAGAAACCAACCTCCTTTCATCCCAGATAGGAAACAGGACAAGGTGAAGCCCACACTACATGGGAGAGTGGAAGGGGGCTAGATGCCCCGCCTAGGGGTTTAGGGTCACCCATACTGGCTGTCCTCCTCCCTCACTATGTCACTCTCAGGGAGTGGCTCCTTACAGCCAGAACTTTGTCCCTTGAAAAGTGGTTCCCTTTCACTTCTTATCTCTTTTCACCTGTGAAATCAGTAGGGTGGGGGAGGCACCCCTCACCTTGTAAATACAGAGGCTAAGGCTGGGAAGGAGGAAGGGGCATGCTCTCTGTTCACTGGCAGGGCCAACCTCAAGTTATTTCAGTTAAGATAATCCTGCTTAGGTATCTGTGCTGTATGACTTGGTGACTTCGTGTGGTCCCTCAAGAGGTGGGAGACTGAGTCACAGGCAGCAGTGGCTAGGGCTTTGCTTGCCTTCGTTCAAATCCTGCCTCTGCTACTTGCTGGCTGTGTGGCCTGGAGTCCATTACTTAACATCTCTGTGCCCTAGTTTCTTCATCTATAAAACAGGCACAATCAGTATGATAGCCCAAGGGGGATGGTGTGAGGATTAAATGAGCTAACACATGGGAAACACTTAGAACCTGTTGTTGTTAGGTGCCATCGAGTCAACTCTGATACAGGTGACCTCATATAGGACAGATGGTTGTTGTTAGTGCCATCGAGTCAGTACCGACTCATAGCGACCCTATGCACAACAGAACGAAACACTGCCCGGTCCTGGGCCAACCTCACAAGCGTTACTACACCTGAGCCCATCACTGCTGCCACGGTGCCAATCCATTTCATTGGGGGGTCTTCCTCTTTTTCTCTGACCTCTACTTTACCAACCATGATATCCTTCTCCAGTGGTCTCTACTGATATGTCCAAAGTATGAGAGATGAAGTCTAGCCATCCTGGCTTCCAAGGAGCACTCTGGCTGCACTTCTTCCAACACAGATCTGTTGGAAGGAGTACAGACAGAATAGAATTGCCCTATAAGGTTTCCAGGACTCCTGGTGTGGCGCTGTAGGATCAGCACTGGACTGCAAACCACAAGGTCAGCAGTTCAAACCCATCAGTTGCTCCTCAGAACCCTATACAGGGTCGCTATGAGCCTTCACTGACTCCACAGCAAATAACCATGATCACCATAGGGTTTCCAAGGCTGTAATATACAAAAATACTCACAACTTGATCCATAAACAACATCAGGATGAAGAAAGAAAAGATTGAAGTTGTGAAAGACTTAATTTGGTTTGGAACCACATCAATGCTCAGGGAAGCAGCAGTCAAAAAATCAAATGACATATTGCATTAGGCAGATCTGCTGTACAAGACCTCTCTAAAGTATTCAAGGGCAAAGATATCACTTTGAGGACTAAGGTGCGCCCGACGCAAGCCATATTTTCAGTTGCTTCATATGCATGTAAAAGTTGGACCCTGAATAAGGAAGACCTTAGAAGAATTGATGCATTGAATTATGGTGTTGGAAAAGGATACTGAAAGTACTTTGAACTGCCATTTGAATAAACAAATCTTCCTTGGAAGGTTTGTTCCTTAGAAGTGAACATGTTAAGACTTCATCTCTTGTACTATGGATATGTTGTCAGAAGGGATCAGTCACTGGAGAAGAACATCATGCTGTCGGCAAGGTGGAGGGTCAATAAAAAAGAGGAAGACCCTCTACTGAGATGGAGTGACACAATGGCATCTATACTGGGCTCTAACGTCACAGTTGTGAGGATCACACCCCACCAGGCAGTGTTTCATTGGGTTATGCATAGGGGTCACTATGTGTCAGAATTGACTTGATGACACCTAACAACAACTGCCAGAGCTTTCTCCTGAGGAGCTGCTGGTGGATTTGAACCACCAACCTTTTGGTTAGCAGCCAAGTGCTTAAACACTATACCACCAGGGCTCCATAAACTACTACACTGTGAGGACTATACAAATGCTGACTCCTACTAGTGTGGCATGGTAGGATAAGCCCTGGACTGGTAACCACAAGGTTGGTGGTTCAAATCTACCAGCTGCTCCTTGAACATCCTATTCGTATGGAGTTGCCATGAGTCAGAACTGGCTCGACGGCACTTAACAATAACAACAACTAGAGAAGGTATTGGGAGCTATTGCTGTGTGACTGGGGGGAAATCCGGGTCTTGGTATCTTTGTCTGTAAAATGGGAGTCTGGCAAGCATGGATTCTGAGTGTGAGATGTGGAACCACATAGATACTGGTTTAATCACTGGCTGTGTGGCCTTGGGCAAGTCACTAAACCTTGCTGAGCCTCCCTCTCTATAAAATGAGGATGATAATAGCTCTGAACTCCAGAGTTAATGTGAGGATTGGGGATCATTCAGGTAAATTGCTTAGCCCAAAGTCTAGCCATTCTAGACCCTCCATAAAACTTTGCTAATATTATTACCTCATATTCCCTTTTACTTTGGACATATCAACAGGGGAGACCAATTCCTGGAGAAGGACATCGTGCGTGGCAAAGTAGAGGGTCAGTGAAAAGGAGGAGCACACTCAATGAGATGGACAGATGATAGCTGCAACAATGGACTGAAACGTAACAGTAGCTGTGAGGATGGTGCAGGACCAGACAGTGTGTGTCAGAACCAACTTCACAGCACCTAACTACCCTCTGACCAAGAAATTTCAATCTCCTATAGACCTGCCAAGGTTCAGGGGCTGTGTGCAAATGGAGAAGCCAGCAGAGAACTGGCTGTTTGCCCTGCCTCAGGGCCTTTGCACAGGCTGGTCAGCCTCTGAATGCCTGGCTACTGGTTCTTTGCATGGCCTCCCTACTCAAATATCATGTCACTTTCTGGATAGATCTTCTTTAACTACTTCATGTAAAACCACCCCCAGGCTCCCTACCTCATTCACACACAGGGAGGTGCCTTGGTTTATATCATAATAACATGGACTAGGTTTTGACATTACCTGGTGTCATGGAGGTTTTTGTCCTGTCATGGACTGTGAGCATCACAGACTGGGAACGTGTGAGTTCCATTCGTGCTGTCTCCCCAGTCTCAGGATCACAATGCAACATTCCTTCTATATCCTTCTACAAAGAGGTTCTCCCTTCTTCCAGGAAGCCTGCCCAGATTTCATTCCCTCCTACTCTCTCTCACTAGTTCTCCCTGTTAGTCTGTATCATTAACACCAAGATTTCTTCATAACTTTTATTATGTTTTACAATCCTCCATTTCATTAATTAATTGCCTGTGTATTTCTCCATCTAATCTGGGAACCCAGTGAGGGTAGGGCTGGGGCTATGTTGCCTGCACTGCCCAGTCAAGATCCAGGCAGAGAACATGGTTCAATAAATATTCATTGAAAGGATGACATCAGGAATGACTCTAACTTGAAACCAAAGATCTGTATTGGGTCAGAAAATTGTCAGCTTTGTCGCTGCCCAGTGCCTGTCTCCTGATACCATTCCCCACTGTCTCACCTCTCCTCCAAACTCACAGACCTGCTGGAGAATTTGTAGACAGTTCTCCATAGCCAAGACAGAAACTCTGGTAGCCTCCTCAATATTCTCCCTTCAGAGAGAGGCCCAGGCCCAGCAGACTGACGTCACTGAGTATTGACAATGATAAGGCTCAATTTCTGTCCTCTAATCCCTCCCCAAAGAATTCAGCAAATCTCTTAAGTGCCAGGATGTCCATACCTTGGCCAGGATTTGGCATCTCTTTGAATAATGATGGATTTGGGATTGTGTAGGCTGAGGGCCCAGTGCTACCTGAACTGGTCACTGTTGAGTTGATTCTGACTCACGGCGGCCCCAGGTGTAGCAGTGTAAAAACTATGCCCCACAGTGTCTTCAAGGCTGTGAGCTTTGAAAAGCAAATCACCTGATCTTTCTACGGAGACACCTCTGGGTGGGTTCGAACTGCCAACCTTTGGGTTTGTAGCTGAGGGCTTAATCATTTGTGCCACCCAGAGACTAGCTAGAAGTGCAAATTCTCAGGCCCCAACCCAGACTCACTGAATTGGAAACTTGGGGTGAGGCTGAGAAATGTTTTAACAAGTCCTCTGGTGATTCTGATGCAGTGGGGAAATTGAAGAACCACTGATCATGTGATGAAAAATATATTAGCAACAGTAGTAATCGTTACACTACTGCTACATGGTCTGTTAATGGTCACCAGTTCTTGAGCCTTTACTGTGTGCCAGACACCACTCTGAAAGTTCAACTGGGTCAACTCATTGTAATCTCTCAAAGCCCCTATGGGCAACATTGATATTGTACCCATTTTACAGAAGAGGAATACTGATGGTCGGAGAAGGGAAGTGATTGCAGACGTTCTCACAGAGAGTCGGGGTGGGGTCAGCTTTTATCTTCAGCTCCTGATAGCTGAAGACCCAAGGTAGCAACCATTTCCTCTGTATAACCATCGTGAATGTGAATGGTAAAGCGGGCTCATCATAGGAAAAATAAGTGTTTAGTTCATCTGTCCAGTTTCTTACCAGGAGGTCAGAGCACCTGGGGGACCCATCTCAAAGGGCAGGTCAAGGAGGACTGATGTGGTCCTCTGTAAGCCTCCCAAACAGAGAAGTGCCTACCATCTCCACAGGGCCCTACCTCTCTCTCTGTGCGATGTGTTTAGGGGCTATGGGAGGGCTGCTCACCTGTGGTCCTGGACACGGCCAATGAGAGCGAGGAAAGGTTAGCAGGTTCTGCAATTAGAGTGGAAGACATCATTCAAGTGATGGCGGGCAGCCTAGAGGACCAGCGAATCTCCCAAGCTCCGCCCCTTTGGACTAGGCTCCTCCCCTCCCGTGTTGCTTCCTCTCCTCTCACAGTAATCAGACTGCACTCTGCGTCTCACTTAGGCCCAGCACCTGCTCTCCCTGCACAACTCCTTTTCATCCTCAGGGAAGAAACACCTCCCACCTCTTCCTCCTCTCTGGGTCAGCTCCTACCCTTTCACTTTTTCAGGGTCAAACCCGCCTCCTCTCCCTCTCCGAGTCCCATTCTGTCTCACCCTCTCCTCCTTCTTGGGGTCAAGACCGCCCCTTCTTTTTTCAGCCCAGGTCCCTCCCCTTTGCCCCCTCCCACACGGGACCCGCCCCCTCTGCGGCCTGCAGCCTCTTGGGCTCACACTCCGTCCCCCATTCGGCTTCTCAGCTTCCCTCTCAGAATTAGGCCCCGCCCCCTCCTAACCCTCTTGGCCTATACACCACCCCTGCTCCAATCAGCGTCCTTCTTTTGTTGTTCTCTCCGCTGGGCCCCGCCCACTTACCCGACCCCTCAGCGTCTGGGCCCCGCCCCTACAACTCAGGCTCGGCTAGTGCCCCGCCTCTGCGTCAGGCCCCGCCTCCTCTCCACCTCCAGGTCAGTCCCGCCCCCTTCTCACCCTCCGACTCAGGCCCCGCCCCCTGCTCACTCTACAGTGGGACGTCTCTCTCGTACCTTGGACAGGACCCCTTTACCATCCCTGTCTCCTTGCTTTCCTCTAACAGTGTCCCCGGAACCCTTACACTCTCCCCGTGGAACCCTTAGACTCCTGTAAGAATCGCCAGACTCTACTCCGAGACCCTCAGCGTCCCCACTTCTCCAGTGCCCTCCCAAACTCCTCTCCAACGCCCGGCCTTGCTTACCCAACGCCCCCAGCTCCGGCTCGGCGGGCTGTCTGGCGGTGCGGCGGCTCGGCATGGCCCTGCCGGCGGGGACCGATGATCCGGAGGCGGGCCCGGTCCGGAGCATGCACGCAGTCAGGCCGGGAGGCCGGGTGGCGCGGTCTGGAGAACGATCGCGGGTCAGACGAGCGGCGCAGGGACTGAGGCCGCGGGCCCGGCTGGACTCGCGGTGCCCAGGGTTGCGGGGGGCGCCCGGCCGGACCGGGCGGGCGGCGGGCGGGGGCGGGGCAGCGGAATTCCCCGGCGCCGCCGGCCTGCGTGCCCATTGGCCCGCGCCTTGCCGTGATGTCACACTAGGGGGAACGGGAAAACCCCCACGCGTCACGTGATCCCGAAGGCGGGGCCGGCCGGGAAGAGGAGGCCGGCAGCTCGGGAGGGGCCACGGCAGGCGCTGCTGCCCATTGCTCTGGCTGAGACCACTGAGGCCTGCGTAGGGACAATCACGACCTACCCATTGGGCAAGTCGAGAAACTTGAGGCTCGTCTCTCCCCAAGTTGAACCTATTGCTCCTCGGACTACGGTTTTGACTTATAACTGACCAGTGCATGATCCAACAGAATCCCACCAGGACTGTAAATTGGTGACTTACGAACCTTGAAGTAATTGACCAGAATGTCAGCTTCCTGTTCTGTTCCTTGCTGTATCCACCCGACCTAGAACACCATCTGGAACTCAGTCCACAGCCAATGCGTGTTGCTGTTGAGTACCTAATTGATTTGGACTCATAGCGACCCTGTATCAGGTTTCTGAGGAGGGGCTGGTGGGTTTGAACCACTAACCTTGAGGTTAGCAGTCCAGTGCTTATTTTACAGAGACACAGCTGGACTCTGAATAAATGGACTTATTTATTGCTTTCCTCCTCCCCACACTCCTGTCAAGTTTTTAGGGTCCTTTCAAATTAAAGAAAGACTCCATCACTCACCACTCCATCTGGGAGTGGTAACAGGGTGGGCCAGGATACACACCTGCACTGAATTGTACTTCTTGAATGAAGAAGGGCTTTCCTGGGGGCTTTATGCCCCACACTGGCACAGGGGGCACATGATATAGAACTAGTATTCTTGCATTGAGGAAGAAACTGAGGTTCAAAGAGGGGCAGGAATTTGTTAACTCATATTCTGAAGCCTCATGACTAAGGGCAACTATGGATGGATGGATCGATCGATCCATAGTCTGGTCTTCTCAGACTAGAGCCAGGGCCTGGTGTCCTCCGTGCCAGCTTGCATAAAATCTGGGTGAGTCATCTCTGCATCCCATGCAGGCTCTGGTTCATTGAAGCACACACTTACTGTTCACCTGCCGTGTGCCAGAGCTTTCACTGGGCACCAGGTATATGGCACTCACCAGTCAGCCTGGGATAGAGAATCATGGATAGCAGCTGTTCTCGAGTGGTCCCTGGTCCTACAGATGAGGGTGCAGGCTCCCAATGGAGAACCATTGCTACCAGAGCAGGGACTCACAAACATTTCCTGCAAGGAGCCAGGCAGTTAATTGTTTTTATACTGTAAACTTGGCAGGCCCGGCGGTCCCAACTCTGAACTGTGCAAAGCTGCCCACTCCTCAGATCTGCCGCTGTGCAGAAGCACTGAAAAACGAAGAGTGTGGCTGTGTTCCAATCAAACCTGGCTTCCAGACATTGAAATGTGAGTTTCATAGACATTTACTCAGGTCACAAAATAGTCTTTATATTTTCAACCACAAACAGGGTACAAGCCACCAAAAATACGGTGGCTGCCTTGGGCCTGCTGTCCTCGAGTCTGTTTCCTTGTCTGTAAAATGTGTCTAAGACTAACACCCGCTTGCTAGGATGGTGGTGGTTATTTCTGAGTGCCATTGAGATGTTGCCGACTTATAGTGACCCTGTGTAGGGTTTCTTAAAAATGGCTGGTGGGTTTGAACTGCCAGCATTGTGGTTCGCAGTCCAGGGCTTACCTTATAGCTACGCACCAGGACTCCTAGATTGGCAGTAAGGATTTAAATAGTATTAATAGCTGATGTTTGCATATAGCTTTTATATGTGCCATTTCTTACTTTGTCATTTTACTTCGTGTGACCTTGGATCAATCATTTTATTTGTTTGGGTCAGTTTTCTCATCTGGTTCCAAAATCCAAACCTGCTGACCTCAGATCAGTTAGGACTACAAGAACCTATAAGAAGATATAGTAGACCTTCCCCATAGGATTTCCAAAGTTGTAATCTTGACGTCAAGAGCCCTGGTGTGGTGCTGTCTGATAAGCACTGAACTGCTAACTACAAGGCTGGCATTTCAAATCCACCAGCCACTCCACAGAAGCTGAGGCTTTCTGCTCTCATAAAAATTGACAGCCTTGGAGACCCAGTCCAGGGTCACTACAAGTTGGCATTGGCTTGTTGACTTTATGGCAGTGACTTGTTGAGCTGGCTCTTGAAGGAAGCAGGCTTCTCCCAAAGAAGGGCTGTTGGCTTCAAACTACTGACCTTGTGGTTAGCAGCTCAATGCTAGTAACTAGTGTCACTATGGAATCACCCCAAACCAAAACTACTGCCTTGGTGTCGATTCTGATTCATTCGGAGCCCAGAGAACAGAGTAGAACTGCTCATTACGGTTTCCAAGGCTATCAGCCTTCATGGGAGCAGATAGTCTCATCTTTCTCCTGGGTAGCAGCTAGAGGGTTCTAACTGCAGACCTTTTGGTTAGCAGCTAAAGACTTGGTGGTACACCGTGCCACCTTCCTCACCTGGTAACAGGTGGAGTAAGCAATACCTGTCTCACAGAATTCTCCTGACCCTTCAATCTGCAGTGATTATGCACCTAGTGTATACTAGGAACCATTCCAAGAGCTGGGGACAGAGCAGAGCACATGACAGAAACTTCTGCCACCACGGAGCTGAAATCCAAGTGGGAGAGACAGGTGGAAAACAGAAAAGCAGATACCTGACTGGATGTGAGAGCGATGTTACTCAAGGAAAAAGCAGGGCTGAGGCAGGGCGCACACACACACACACACACACACACACACACACACACACACACATGATGATGGGGGTTGGAGATCAGGGAGGATGTGAGGTGACCTTGGTACGGAGATCTGGAGATGATGGACCCAGTTGGCCATCTGAGGAAGCGTGTTCAAAGCCAGTGCAAAGGCCCTCAGGTGGGAACATGCTTGGCCTGTTCAAGGCCAGCCAGGAGGTGTGGGGAGCTGGTGTGGGAGGACAAAAGTCGAGCGGGCAGTGAGAGGCTGGAAGGTGATGGAAACCAGGAGTCTGTGGAAATGGGATGGAGGAAGCCAACCATACACGTACATGGACAGAAGCTTGGCTTGTGAAAGCAAAGGAGAAAGAGGGGCTGTTATTATCACTGCATCAGTAGCCCACCGGGTCCCGCTCTGCCTGGAGCCTCGCTGAGCCTGTTCCTTGAGGGACGGAACATTCATGAGACTGGCCCGGTAGGCTGGGGCTATCCTGTCTCCACTGTGTTTACAGAAGCTCCCAGCTTGCTCAGGGAGCCTTCGGTGAGTGACGAAACAAGCATCCGCTTACTCTCTCTGCACAATGAGTGGGAACTCACTTCTCCATGAGTCTGTGTCAGACCCTGCAAGGCCCAACCACTCTGAGAGGGCCCTGGATAGAGTGGGAGAGAACTGTGACATAAAATCCAAAATCAGATCGAGACAGACAGAAGGGTTACGGGAATCCTGTGGGGCAGGTGTTCCTTAGCCCCACCTACCACATGAGCAAGGTGCGCTGATGGCACAATGCTTAAGTCTGCGGCTGCTAACCGAAACGTCTGCAATTAGAACCTACCTGCGGCTCATGAAGGCCAACAGCCTCAGAAACCCCGAGGAACGGCTCTAGCCTGTCCTCACAGCTCACGATGAGTCAGAGCCAACTCCACAGCAGTAACTTCGGTTTAAAGGGTTCTAGAGTAGGCCTGCGGCTGCAGAGAATTAAGTGATATGTTCTTGTTAAGTGCAGTTGAGTCGATTCCAACCCATAGCAACCGTGTAGAGGGTTTCCAAGGAGCCGTTGGTGAACTTGAACCCCCGACCTTGCAGTTCAGATGGCTTTGCAGTCTGGCGCATTAACCCACAGTGCCACAGGGGACTGCAAATCAGGGTGGTTGAAACCTACACTGTGAATCTGGCCCTGAGCTGTCCCCCTGTGGGCTCCAGCCAGTGGGGAGACAGTTATTCCTACACAGGGGGCCCTGAGCGGGTATTGAGCTGTTTGTGTGCCTGGTGGTACGTTTCAGGTAGAGGGAACAGCAAGGTCTAGGGCCTGAAGCAAGAGACCAGGACAAAGTAAAGTAAAGATGAGGTTCCTGGGTTCTAAAATTCTCCTTCACTCAGAGCCTCACTCCAGTCGGAAGCCTGACTCTTCTCCCCAGGGCACTGAGGAGCCACGGTTGGTTCTGAGCAGGGGATGGATAGAGGTAAGTGTGTGCTTCAGGGTGCCCCCTGACTGCTGGATGGGGGACGGGCAGGAGGCGCAGGACTAAGATGGAGGGGGCAGTGGGCGGGAAGGGAGCCTCCTGAGTGACTAGGGCCACAACTGACAGGTCTGGGAGGACAAGGCCACAGAGGTGAAGTGGCCTGAGGGTGCATGTCCTATTGGGGTTCAGCTTATCATTTCTCAGGGCTCTGTATGGAGGGCAGGAGCAGCCCACCCCCAAAAGGGGACAGTGGGTGCCCAGACACTCCCCAGGGTCAGACCCGTAACTGCCACGTGGGGTTGGGGGTGGCTGAGAAACCTCAATGAGGTGTGGTCCCCTGGCAGGGACACCCTGGGGAGCCTGCTGTGGCTTCCTCTCCCCCCACTGCAGAATGTCAGCACCCAACCACTAAGAACACAGGAGACCCGGAAGCCTACACATTCAGAAAGTGGGAGAGTTGTCTCAGTCAGTGCCCTGGGGGATGCTGGAAAGGGTCATACACACACAATGAGAATGTGATGAGGGTTTGGGGGGCACTAACTGCACCCTGATTTCTAGGGCCCACTCAAGACCCAAATGCTCTGGGTATCCTGCCAGTACTCCTTCCATGTCCATCCCTCACCCACGGGGCTGGTCTGGCTCTGTTCCTGTGTGAAGCCAGCACACAACTGTAGGCATCCTGGGACCACAGCACCCCCATCTATGAAGAGGCTGACTCTGAGCTCTGCTTGGAGGCTGTGGGGGGGGCGGTGGCTGGAGAGGGGCCTCGTCCTGTCCCCTGGGGGCACACTGCTCTCTGAGGCAGCACAGAAAGGAGGGACGCACGAGGAGGGGTGGGCTGAGTTTAAGTTAAACACCCATATGAATTTATTAAACCCAGACTGTGTTAAAGGGTGGCGGTCTGGGAGGAGGGGGCGTTGGGAACGAGGGACAAGGTGATGAATGGCTGTGGACGTCCCCCACAGGGAGCCCCCGGCGCCTCCCCCCGGCCCACCTCCACCTTGGCCGCACCACGTCGGCTTCACCATGATTCCCAATGGTGCTGGGCTGGCGGGAGAGTTGGCGAGAAACACGGAAGGCTAGACGGACAGACTGCGCCTCCACACGCACCGTGCCCTGGCCGGCTGCAGCCTCACACCACTTGCTGGGCCCCAGCCCACTCTGTCCAGGGAAGGGGTGATGGGAGAGGCGACGGGGGCCGGGAGGCAGGGCGGTGGCAGTCACCAAGACCTGGAGTAGACGAGGGTGACCAGGAGCGGCTAATCCTTTTTCTTGTCCTCTGCTGGCTTTGGAGGCGCTTCCTGGGGCTGATCTGCGGAACTGGCCCCCTGGGAGGGCGTGGCAGGCTCTTCCCCAGTGGCGGTGGCTGAAGTGTCAGGTACAGGTGTGAGGGCTCCTGCTGCTGCCGTCGGGGCCTCGGTCACAGGGACAGCTGCTGCGGGTTCCTCTCCACTCATGCCAAACTCATTCACCCGGGTAGGGTCGACGCGGTAGATCCACCGTTGATAGAGGTATATGAAGAAAACCACATCTGGGGGTGGGGGAAGGGGAGGCCGCATGAGAGAAGACACTAATATGCACTGAATTGTGTCTGCCCAAGAGAAAAGCTGTCAATCCTAACCCCTATACCTATGGTTAAGAAACCCTGGTGGCACTGTAGGATAAACGCTGAACCGCAAGATGGGCAGTTCAAATCCATCAGCCGCTGCTCGGGAGAAAAATGAGGATTTCTGCATACAGCCTCAGAAGCCCTATACAGGGTGACTATGAGTTGGAAATCAACCCGATGAGAGTGGCTTTTTTAAGGGCATACCTGTGGTTATCATCTCATTTGGGAACAGGTTGTCTTTGTTATGCTAATGCGCTAAGACTAACGCAGACTGAGTCCTGAGATAGAAAAGAGATTAAATAAGCAAGACATCAACGCGGAGCTGGGGGAAGACAGATGTCGAGACACATGAAGGTGTCCCAGCAGCAGAAGCCCAGAGAGACCAGGCCCGTCCTCCAGAGGCAATGGAGACAGCGCCTCCCCTAGAGCTTGCACCGTGCGTTGGGACATCTATCCTCATAAACAGTCAGTACACATTTCTGCCTGTTAAAGTCACCCACCTGCACGATTCCTGTTACCGCAGCACAAGAGAACGGCGACAGAATTGGTAGCGGAAGAGCAGGATGCTGCTCTGACAACTCCTAGAATGTGGCAGTGAGTTTGGAATTGGGTAACGGGTAGAGGATGGGCGAGCTTTAAGGGGCCTAATACCAATAGGCTGGATCGCTTTGAAGAGAACGTTGGTAGACAACTGAGGTGACGGCTCAGACGGAAGTGATAACAAATCTCTGCAGTCTTAGAGAATATACATGGTGCCAGCACCAGTGCCAGAAACGTGAACACTGAAGGGGCTTCTGGTGAGGAGAAGTGTGGGATGGACAAGGGAAGACAGGCAACATTTCTTATGCAGTGGCCAAGACTATATCTGAATTGCGTTTTAAGTGTTTGACAGAAGGTAATACTTTTAAGTGTGAGCTTGGTCATCTGGCTGAGGAGATTTTTAAGCAAGATCTTAAAGAAGCCTTATTGTCTCTCCTTTCTACATAGAGCAAAATGCAAGACAAGACAGGCGGACTTAAAGATGAACTGCGTGAAATAAAAACAAAACTTAAAACGATTTGGAAAAGTCTGTGTAACAAACTAAGAACACATGTTACGAAGGATGTGGCTATACAATCTTTGACTAATGGATTGACCCAGTGACTGATGGATCTAACCAACTACCACAGCAGCAAAGCTATCAGCTTAGACTGACGGGGGCAGAGCAAGAACGAAAGGAATGACCACTATCAGCGTCTTGGCATTCTGCAGCCAGGAAACGGGCCAAAGGAGCTACATCTGTGGTCTCCAAGAAAAGCCTGGAGTGGCTCAGAGTCAGCAGAACTGTTGCAGGAACTTGGGAAGCTGGGCCTTCTCAGTTTCAAAGGGTGGGGCCCCAGCCTCCTGGATCTCCAAGGGTGCAGGCATCTCTTAGGTTTCAGAATCAGGCCTTCATCAACTTGGTTCTGGAGTGCAGGGCCATTGTTAAGGTGTGCCAGGGGGATGGGAGTTCTGCCCAAAGCTCAAGGGGCAGGACCATCATTCAGATGGATCAGGAGAATGGGACCTCCCAAAGCCAAGGGAGCAGAGTTGCTGTCCCAGTGGGCCTGGAAGGTG